AGATGGAATCATTGAGAGTACTTAGAGCAGATAAGACATCCATAAGTCAACTACCACATACCACAGTAAGATTGAAGAAACTCACTCATTTATCTATAATGGCAGCGCCTTGTGCTGAACGTTTTTATGCTTACGGTATGCCAACGGGCGCATTAAACGATGATGGAATCCCCAACCTTCGTATCCTTTGGCACCCAATGGGCGCATTAAACGATGATGGAATCCCCAAGGATCTTGGGAGTCTAAGTTCTTTACAATTTTTGGATCTTGGAGGGAATGATTTTCATACCCTACCAAGCTTCAGTGGTCTTTCAAAGCTTGAAACTCTACTGTTAAGTAAATGCAAGTTTCTTCATACAATCCCCGACTTACCAACAAATTTGAAATTTCTGGATGCCGATGGTTGCCATGCATTGGAAACAATGCCTAATTTTTCAGAAATGACAAATATGAGAGAACTGTATATAAGAGATTCACCCAAACTCATTGGGGTTCCAGGCCTGGATAAGTCATTAAACTCCATGACATTGATTCATATGATTGACTGCACCAGTCTCACAGCTGATTTTACGAAGAACATCCTACAGGTACCTCTCTTTCTCTCTCTCTCCCCTAAGTTAATTGCCTTCCTATCGATCGCATGCACACACAAACGCATATGTGCATGTATGTATATGACACTTGTATTTGTATATATAGGGATGGACTTCCTGCGGACTCGGTTGCGGACTCGGTGGCATTTTCCTCCCTTCGAGTTATGTTCCTGATTGGTTTGAGTTTGTCAATGATGGCAATAAAGTCAGTTTTGATATTCCCCCTAGTGAGGATCATAATTTTGAAGGACTGACTCTGTTCTGCATTTCCCAAAATGCTTGGCCTCTTGCCATTACTATTGTAAATAATACCAAGCATACTAAGTTGCGGGAGACCATCACAATCAGATTACATGTGCGCGATTATCTTTGGCAAGGACATATATCGAACGATAAGCTCAATTTGCAAAGTGGGGATAAAGTTGATGTAATTTTTGGAGACAGGGATTATCGTGATAGAATGAAGAGAACAGGAGTTAATCTACTATGGGGCAAATCTGTAAAGTAAAACATGCATGATTTGCATGGTGCTGGTTATGTTTTTGACCCATATCCACCTCGGTTCTATGGTGAGGCAGGACCAAGCCATGACGCATCTGATAATAATCATCCCAGTAATCAAATGGGAATTACTACAGATGACAGAATGGAAAAAGGCAAAAATTGTGAAGTGAAAGCATCACCTGTCTAGATTAAGTCTCACCAGATTGGTTCTATGGTGAGGCACGATCAAGGCGGTGATGCATCGTCATCATCAAGCTCATCCTCATCATCACATATCTGAGTTCTTGGTCTACAGATCACCGCTAGCTTCATCATCAGCAAGTCAATATTTCATATATCTTTCAGATTCTTGTGATTTTTCCAGTAAGTAATTGTTTTGAATTTTGAAGATATATTGCATTCAGAAACATTTCAGCATTACAAAAACCCATATAAGTCAAGCATCCAATGATTCGAGAAATACCATTTGAATTCGCAGAAATACTTGCCCTACAAATGCACCACACATTTTCTTGTCAAATGCATTTCTCATTTTACTCGCGTAACCATACTTAATAGTCAACACTGGACATTACATAAACGAAGTTACTTGCAATTCAAGAAGGCCATACCTCCACTGTGAGATACATAGGCATCTGTTTCTTCTTCCTTAGGGTTTTCGTCTGCAAGACCAGCGTTGAATGGGGAAGCGTCACTCTTATTGTCCATAATAATTATTTTCTCACTTTCTTCACCCACAACATTTTTGGTCTGCATAAAAAGAACATTACTACATTAGCTTCTTAAAGTTATATTTGTATGGCAGAAAAAAAAAAATGGCACAAATTTTCTAAAAAGATTTTGGGACAAAGAAGACTTACAACTGATTTCGAAAGATTCTGTATTTTCCACCAGGTTCTGCCTCACATGGCTGTCTCTGATCACCTTCTTAAGCTCTTCATTTCCACTCTTCAAAAACCCATCGGCAAAATGCCTCAGTTTTTCAAATTCCGTCACAGAAATGTGTTTTTTGTTCAAGTGAATCGTACTGTGAAGCTTCCAGCAACTTGCCAAGCATGACAAGAGAGCATGCAGATGAAGAGCTCCTTTCAACAAGTCTTTGGCAATGTCTTTCGGCTGCTGCCATTCGAACCTCATCCCTTTCGACTAGGAATCAATCGTGCGGCTCAGCTTCTGAGCTCCTCTGGACATGAGCTCAAAAGATGAAGGGATCTGATACTCCCCTGCGATCACAACATCCTTCTCTGCCTTGTGATCCAAACTTGGTTCTCGAGTTCTTCGACTTTCCATCTTCTGCTCTGTTTTCAGGGAACCACTTCGATTTTCTAGTCATCCCACAACCAATAATTCCTTTTGGATCATCACAACATCTTTCTCTTCCTATTGTTACATACTCTAGATAAGATATATGGGCACTAGTGCAATCAAAGACCTTTTTCTAAGAATAAGACAATTAAGCATCCAAGTTAAAGAAAATCAAACCCCAAGCTTCACCAGCATCTGGATTTCCTTTCTCTAAGGATTGAAACTGTTCTTTACTGAATTCGGATTATCGCACCAAAATTTGTGTCTAGGATTAGATGAAGAGAGAAAATGGACTAGATACTTAGCTCAGCAACGTCATACCCCAAGACCAATAGCCAATGCAAGTTGGAATGTACCGATCAAATAATGGGGTTTAAGGAATGCATTTCAGAGTACTTCATACCAAAAATGTCGATTCCAAGTTGAGCATAGATTGGAGAGAAGAAGCTATCCACAAAGTGAAAAAACCACCATGCGATATAGAAAGTGATCGCTATTGGAAATAGGACACACTGCAATGGAACAAAGAGTGAGAAGCTAATATGATACATATGAGCAAAAAGCAATCTCGAAGAAAAAGAACAGAGCTTTGATCCCATTAGCTTCTACATTAAATGCATCCATCAAGAGAAATCCACACACATGACATGATTAGTGTAAAATGACATGAAATGGGTTCAGTCTAAAACTATAAGAGGCTAAGTTGTACATTTCTTGAATTCATCTAAGCTAGAGGCTATCCCTGTAGCAAAACTCCTAGAATTCATCTAAGTTTTGAGTCCCTATCACTACTAAGCATTCCATCTTTCAGCATACCTCATGGGTCAAGTTAATAAATTTAAGAAATTTAACTACTCTCAGCTCCAAATCTTAAGAATAATCAGAAATCCAACAACGTTAAAGATATTTAACCCTCCCCCCAACATAGAATTGATGGTTTACACACAATATCAAAAGGGAAAATAGTATTGCATATGAACATGATTTGAACGAAATAGGAGCCAGAAGAAAGAAATGCCCACCATTTGTAGGAGGAAGAGCGATAGAGAAATGCTTTAATAGGTTTCTATGAAAGATGTCTCAATCCAATATTTTAGGAGAGGGGAGAGGTTTTTAAACTTGAAAAGACTTCTGATTTCTTTCACACAACAAACTCATAACACTACATGGCTTTTATGGCCACTACAATACATCATCATTTATTTAGCTAATTATAAGCTTCTTAATAATCAAAACATCTAGGGAAATCATGACTAACTCTAGAAATTCCAAACATCACAACTCTAGAACTTCTATCTTTCTTAACCCTGATTTATGACTCTTGGTAACTTAAATTTGGATTAACCTTCCAACACCATTCTGTCATGAACTTTTTTCTGTCCAAATAAATTTGGAAAACGTCTGCGCAGAGATAAAAGAGATCTGAATGATTGTTACGAAGATTAAGAAAAAGGAGCACAAACACTCAAAAGTATGGAAAACTAATGTGGTAACTTAGGCCACCAAAGGTAACTAACTTTTATCGATTCTTGATAAATTACTGCAACTTACAAGACAAATTTTTACATGCGTATCAGTAGTATAATGCAGCAGCAACACATTTATACTGACTAAAAGTAAAACGCTACGATGCCACTAAATATCTTGTAGAAATGCCTAGATATACCCGAATCAATTGTTTGATCAACTTATCACATTACTTGGAAGCTCAAGCAGAGAAAAAGAGCTACTCACACCCAAATTTCGAACCAAGGAGCTGAAAATAATGCCGAAAATCCAAATTAGCACGTTACAAGTCCAAATGAACTGATGAAAATTTGACAAACAAAGCAAGACCCAAATCTGAGTTTGCTCCTCCATTAGCCTTAGGAAACAGTAAATCAGACCAAGTCAAACACAAAATTAGAAACTTGGTCAACAAAATCAACCCATATATTACAATTAACACAAACACACTAACTCACTAACTTCAATTAACACAAACATACCAACGCCAAGTACACAATTTGATTGGTGGAATACACAATCCGATGGTCTTATAAGTGTTGCACTTGATAAACGTTCGTACCCCAGAAACTATTTAGGCAGAGGGTAATACTAGAGGCCATCTACTTAAACTATATTTTGTAGACCATATAATGTGGCGGTTGATGATTGAATTCCTTCTTTAGTCATTTAAATAAAGAATTCAATTATTGAACATCACATCATTCGGTTTACAAAATATGATCTAACGGAAGGAAAATACTGAGAAGACCATCTTTTTAGACCATATTTTGTAAACCACATTATGTAGCAGTTGGTAGTGGAATTCTATTTTTAATAAGGATAATGCTAGGAAAACTAAATTCTTAAACCAAATGACGTGTTATTAATAAGAAACAAACACATTTGTGACAACCCGTTTCAAATTTTACGTTTTTATTTTATTTTAAAAGTGTGAATTTACGAAATTACCCTAGAGGCAAGGACTTTGACTTCCGTTGACCATCGACTTGAGAGATGTGGTGTCACGCCCCGATCCCAACATACGTCAAGAATCGACACGTGACTAGGAAAATAACGTTCGTTGAATACGGTAGGAGTGATTGAAGGAAATACTTTAAATGATAACCCAATTTAATTTGAAGATAACTAAGTTCACTACTTGACATTTGCAAATATGTACATTTCAAAAAGAAGTACAACCTTCGCCAGAACAAAAACAAGTTCAAGATGCTCAAAAGAAAGTCCCAAAAATAAAAAGTACATGAGTGAATCAAGGGTAACCTAACGCTCCAAGTCTCTGATACCGTGCTGCTACCCCCACCTACGACCGTCTCGAAGTCTACTCAAGCTGTCACCTGTAAGTTCAGTGCCTACACCATCGAAATGGTACATCGGCAACCATCCACACAATATAAGCTGCGTAGTTTGTGTGAGTGACAATAATACCAAGTATGAGAGACAATTATTAAAATCATCCATCAAACACAATTTATAAACATTGAATGCAATTCCTTGATCACAATCAATACCAAACCTTTAAAACTCCAAATGAGTCACCCGGACATCCAAAAGTTCATTTGAAACAACTATCACATCTCACACCCATTTTCACATACACACAATGAAAGTAAAATTAGGGTGACACAGTTTATCCAAAGCCTACACCTTTGCGACTATCTCAACCCAAACTTAATGAACCAAGGTGGATACAATCCCGGACCATCACTCAACGGGATTGCGGGGTAAGAGGGATTCCGGACCATCTCTCAACGGAATCCGAATGGTTACGATTCCGGACCATCACTCAACGGAATCACGGAGTAGAAGGGATTCCGGACCATCTCTCAACGGAATCCGAATGGGTACGATTCCGGACCATCACTCAACGGAATCGTGGAAAGCCAACACCCATAATGTACAACGGTTCAAAGAACTGAGACTAGCACAAGTTGCTTCATTTACAAAAGCTCAACTAAGAGAAGTAAGGCATAAATACTAACTTTTAGAATGGATCAACGAATCGGAAATGAAACAATATTAAAACAGCAAATCCCCAATGGGTTAATGACCCACCACTAGCCCTCACATTTCATCACATTATGCCAATCAAACAATTTACATCATATTTCAGAATGTAATAATCAAATCTCATTCCATAATCTTAAATCAAAACTAGGTATTAACATAATAATTCAATAGAAATGTATTTATAAAACTAAGTCACACCCTCACAGAGTAGTAATTACAAAAGTAAGGTAATCACTAATATCACATATATTGAAGTCACTCACCTGGAACCCACGCTAATGCACCTTAGCACGATAGTCAAGGCATCACGTTCTATCACCTCCTGAACAAAGCACAAGTCCACATTTAGATTTCCTTCGATAATTCACATAATCAAAACTCTTATATGCCTCCCATAACACATTTAATAAGGGATCAAACCATTGTTCTAAGGCAGGGTCCATGATCTTACATCATTTACTCCATAAGACCCAATCACTAGATTTTCACTACTCCAGGTATCGTTATGGCCCATTATCAGAAACAGAGTGATACCAAATCCTTTAAATATATATAAACTTGAACATAACCACACTTAGATGGAAAAATTCCAGTAATTACGTAATCGAAAAGTAGGGATTCCAACGGCAATACTACTAAATTAAACAATTGAATTAACTACATGAAACGTAGGTGCCCGGTATCACACAGTCTCCTCCCCACCGGCTTCCATAATCTCTCCTTTCCTACAATCATTTTCTTCATACCTTCCCTCAAATACCCAAGAAGCAGGCATGAAAATACAGTCAAACGCCCATTATAAATCAAGGCAGTAACGTAAGGCTAGTTTCTAATGTAATTGAACACATTAACATAAAGCATCCAAATGTAGGCTTAGAATTACAAAATGCATGAAAATTCACATTCCAATGTCTGATTCAATCATCAACATTTCCATAACACCAATGTCACACAACAAAAAAATTCGACCCCTTTTTTTTTTTTTCAAAAAAAAATCTCAAATTTTACAAGAGCAAATATCTCAACAAGTAGAATAAACTTTATACCTGGGGCCGAGTCCAATTTGGCCGGGAAGGCCCTCAAATTGGCTCGCACCCAACGAAACCCTAAGATGGGTGTTCTTCAATTCGGCTTCTTTGGTGTTCCAACGCCCCAACCACTAGTTGGTCCAAGGGAAGTTGAATAAGGGTGATGGTGAATGGTGACACTCACCGGAATGACGAATCGCCGTTGAGAATCACTGGGTTCTCCGGTGGAGTTCTACCTGAAGTAAGCCTCAAACAAACTTGATTTTTGGTGGAGATGGAAGGAAGGAGATAGTCAAGCAAGTTACAAATGAAGTAGACAAGAAGGTCAGCTGAGAATCGGAGGAATTGGCTTGAATTTAGCAGGTTTGAAGTTATGTTGGTGAGGCATACGGGTTACAAATTAAGGGGGGGAAAAATGTCCCCTTCTCACCTCCCTCAACGTCTTTTATAAACCCCAAAAAAAAAAACTGATCGTTCCCTTTAAAAAAAGCAAACTTAACCTTTACCCACTTGTGGGAATTTAATAATTCCCACAATCTAAAGTTCACAATTCAAACGTCCGTAACTATACCGTTATAATTCGGACTCGCAAACGGCTTTCGCCTATGTATTCGTGGGTTCGAGATCTATTAAAAGAAACTAGTTGTAAATTCGGGGACTTATTCTTTTAGCATATCCGCGTAGTACTCGTTGGTACGAACATATAGGCGAAAGCTATTTGCGAGTCCGGATTATAACGGTATAGTTACGAACGTTCGAAATTGGTTATTCAAGGTTTAGTGTTAATTAAATTAAATCCCCACTTTGTGGGGTGAAGCCCAATCAGAAATGGAGGAAAGAAAGAAAGGAAAAAAAAACGGAAGTGGCTTTCTCGTCCACCCGCACCCACCACGAGTTCCCATTTTCCAAGGTCGATTTCGGCCAACTCCTGTGGAGTTTTTCGACGCCACCACTACCATCTTGAAGCTCTCATTCCCCTCTACAAAACCCACCCAAGAACCACCTTGATTAACCATGGTATGTGGCGGTTTGAGGCCACAAAAGTCGACAAAAATCGACGGTGCTACGGCCACTCTTTTCGATTTTCGGCAAATCGGCAAAGTGATGGCCGATGTCACCACTTGGGATTTGTAGCCCATCATCCCAGGAGAAAAACCCAACCAACCTTGACCCCGTTGGACCACTGTAGAAGATGAATCGACATCAGGAAGTTTTAGGCACCCGTCGGCTTTGTGGGCAAAATTGACCATCTTCCGTCCACTTTTGGACTTCGTGGCAAGTATGAAAGTTGCTCCACTCACTGAGATCTTCATTTATGTGAAGTTTGAGAATTTTTTGAAATAGTTGGATTTTCCGGCGAGTCGGGGCGGCTGACCGCCACCCGCGGCGGCGCGTGGCCAGTGGGCTGCCAATGCTATTTTTAGGCTATGTCAAATGTCTTGAATTCAGTTTTTTTATTTGAATGACATAGGTTGATCTTTGGAACCTAAATTCGTTACGATACGTTGCTTGATGAAAATGTGAATCGACAATCCGACCGTTGGATCGTCACCAAACTTGGATACATTATAGTAAGTAATATTTAAAGATCATAGGAATTTATGGATCGGGAATCTGATGTACGGATCCTCCCGAATTGAATTTGTAAGTTAGTAAAATAAATGTTCACGTCTACTTGGTTTTGGGCAAATGGCGGAGATCCAACCGTTGGATCGTAATGAAATTTTAATATGTTATTCTAGAAACATATTGTGGATCGTTGGGAGTTGCGGATTGGAAATCTGATATGCAGATCTTCCAAATCGAGCTATATAGGGTTGTAGACCCTACCGTTGATCTTTAATCGACAGTTGACTTTTGGTTAATGGGTCTCAAATTATTCTTGAAGGTCATTGAGGATATGTTTTATGTAAATTATGTATTCTATCGGTAAAAATTGTGAGACGTGATTTGATAATTGTTCACAGGCGACGATAGATAGTGTTGTTTCGATGTGCGTGCAAGATAATCATAGCGTGGACTCCAGGTGAGTGGGTCTTTTTCTTTCATAGGCATATAATTGATAGTTCCACAAGCACTTCTATAGTGATCTATGCTTGTTACCTAAAATTAATCATTTCAAACTACGAATGGCTTGATCCCTGTTTAGGGTACGTATGCAGTCTAACCAGACGTTAAATGCAGCCATATAATAAATGAGATTAAATAATTGAGACAATAGCCTTGTTTAGTGAATTGAGCAATGTGAAGGACATTGGTGGGAAGTGTGAGATTTAGCTTTATGATTTGGCGATTAATGTTGATCATGAATCAATGCGTGAAGAATCAAGAAATTAAAGTAAGGAAAGGTAAGTAATAATAGTTAATGTAACTAGGGTCTAATTGGGCTTAACACTGATGATTACTCTCAAAAGTAAATAGTTTGGGAGTAGGGTGTTATTGATTGTACATGTTACGCCATATTATATATTTTGGGAATATTATGAAATGTTTGGGTATAGATTGCATCATGGCATATTCATATGGATATTACCTGAACCTAACTATTATGAATGCTTTGAAGTGCTATATGACGCCGCGAACGTCCAGATATGCTTCAGGTGAGTACATGTTGATGTTAGTGATGGTAGTGAGTATGATTGTGTTGAGATATAGTATAGCTCATAAACCTGCACCCCGATGTTAATGCTCCTGCCCGTGGCCAGGGCACAGTCCTTCACGTGATGTTCACCTCCCGCACCTTACGCTCACCTTGGATCCAAGTTAGGTGTACAGTCCTGTCGTACAGACCACTTTAGGTGGTTCCGACTTGTGTGCAGGTATACTTATTAAGCTATTGGCTAGCCATGATTGATGAGATATTGATAAGTCGTACAGGTCACTATAGGTGACTTCGACTTATATGCTAGCCATGATTGATGAGATATGGATAAGTTGTACATGTCATTTTAGATGACTCTGACTGATATATAACTTTGTATTGATTAAGTTCATTTGGCCTACTTATTAATGTATGGTGGAGTTGATGGCAAACTGTGGTTTTGGTCATTTCTGAGTATGGTTTGGATATATGTATATATGTTCTACTGTCCTATAGAAAACGATAAGGGAATTACAGTGAGGGGTTTTTATTGTTAGAAAGATAATAGTTTTGGGAAGCTTGATTATACTGCTTACTCACACTTTCTGTTTTGTACCCCTTCAAGTTTTAACTGCTGAGTTCGTATCGACGAGGATATATAGCTAATCTTAGTATTGGTGGCTACTTTTAAGGGAATAATTCTTACCCACACTACTGTACCTTACTTATGCTCTGACATTGCGTGTGAAATGGATTCGCTCCCACTCGTAGCGCACTCTGGTATTTAGACACTTTTAGATTCAAATTTATTCACTTTTTATACAATATCACATTTTATGGCTTCGTCACCTTCCAGGTGTTGGCCAACACAGCTCGATTTGGGATCCTAGTAGACATTCTGGGTCGGGGTGTGTCACATTGATCGTCACTTAATTAATAATCCAATCATTTGGTTTACAAATTTGATTTAAAAAATTTAGTCTCCCATTACTCTTTTAATAATTCAAAGAAAAAAAAAATTCAACAATCAACTAGCATTGCAGATAGCTCTTTTTCAAAACATAGAAACAAAATATTTGTAATCAATAAAAAAAAAGGAGAGAAAAGTCTTCAAATAATATTCACAATTTTGTCAAATTTTTGGTGGGATATTATATTCACAATTACCTGATTAGAAGACCAAAAAGTCTTCAAAACGCGTTCTCCCTCCCCTTATATGAACAAAATCTCAAAGCCGGTGAAATTTCACCTGCCTCCTCTGAGCTCGCCGGAGCTCCCTCCGAGATCTCAACCTCCGCCGCAAGCCTGCCCTCTGCTCTTTTGGCTTCAAAGATCCGAGCTTTTCTGTATGTTGGTGATGTACAATTTCTTCCATAACTCTAAATTTCAGTCGAATCAATCGTCGTTTAATGCATTAATTTCATACCCAAATAGTAGATCGGCATAATTTTCAAAGTCCATATCTCAGATTTCTCTATGAAGTGTTCTCCTCTTCGATTTCACTCGCTTGCCTCTGTTAGTGTAGCCTTTCACTGTCCGTGTAGCTCTTGAAATTTTGAAGATCTACTGGTTTTTTTTGCTCTGAATTCGAATTGGTATTCTAGTTAGTGACAATGTCTGCGATTAGAGTCGATTCCGCTAAGCCGTATTTCGCTACGAGCAGTCTAGTGATTGGGTATGCTCTCTGTTCTAGCTTATTAGCTGTGATAAACAAGCTTGCCATTACCAAATTCAACTACCCTGGCCTTTTGACTGCATTGCAGTACCTTACTTCTGCTTTGGGAGTTTGGGTTTTGGGAAAGTCGGGATTTTTGCACCACGATCCCTTCACTTGGCAGACGGCGAAGAAGTTTTTACCTGCTGCACTTGTGTTCTACCTTGCTATCTTTACCAACACCAAACTTCTTCGCCATGCCAATGTGGATACTTTTGTAGTGTTTAGATCCTGCACACCCCTTTTGGTTGCGTTGGCGGATACTGCGTTTAGGAAACAGCCTATCCCGTCTAAGCTTACCTTTGTGTCGTTGTTGATCATTTTGGGTGGAGCTGTTGGTTATGTGGCCACAGATTCGGGTTTTACTTTGACTGCGTATTCATGGGCGTTTGCTTATTTGGTGACCATTACAACTGAGATGGTTTATATTAAGCATATGGTCACAAATCTCGGGTTGAACACATGGGGTTTTGTGTTGTACAACAATCTTTTGTCACTGATGATGGCTCCTCCAATTTATACAACATTTTTGTGATTTAGGATTTGTACATGAATTGAAATTTAATTTTTCTGATTTCAGCTCTCATTGGGATCCTAACACTCCATCATTAAAATCCTTTTTGTGTGATATTCTCCTCCAGGCACGGTTGCAAATACACAAGCCATCAAGGTATCTCATTCAATTATATATATATATATTGTAGATGTGTGTATTGCTTTATACATTTGTGAGTGTGAATTTGTTTTCTGTAGGTTGATTTAATTAATGACGTTTATTTTAATTTCAGGTTAATTTGGTTCTGTTAAACTAAAGATGTTAGAAGAGTGGAACCAGCAGTGTTTTAAAGAGGTTGGTTTGTCAATATTTTCATTTATGTTCTTTTAGTTGTTTGAATGGACTTTCTATAATGTAAATCAAGCTTAATTTAATTGCTGCATTTCTATATTGTCTTTGGTTTGTCCTTTTTTTTAGCTGAAAAATGTAATTTGGGTTTGTAGATCAAAGTTTTCCGGTAGGAAAATTACCTTGGAAATAAAATTTAAATACAAACACTTACATTTATTTAGGATTTTGAGTTCATCTTTTGTTTTAGTACATTTTGGTTCTGAGTGTGATATAGTGTATTGTAATCTTTATTTAACTGTGATTTTGTATATTTTAAGTGGTGGTTTGGATTTTGAAGGGTGAGAAAAGGGTTTGATGGGTTTTAGAGGAAACGTGGATAATTTAACAGGAGTTTGGAAGTGGAAGAATGACTATGGAGGATGGGGACTAAGGGATAGTAGGAAGCAAAGTAGAAGGGATTGTACACAGAGATTTCTGTGTTTGGGTACGTTTTTGTTTTGGGTTAAGGAAGGCGACGAGGTCTGCTTGCGAATGGAAGCATTTCAGTTAGTTTGGTCAGGAATTGAATCCTCCATCAAGTTTTCAACCCAAAACAAAAACATACCCAAACACAGAAATCTCTGATTACAATCCCTTCTACTTTGCTTCCTGCACTTCATTTCATTTTGTCAAATAGTACATCAATTTCCATCTTCACTGTCTTAATATGTTGTTACGGTAATTTAACTCATGTTTGTCCACAAATTTGTACTAATTTTAATACCTACATTCTCATTTTGTCCATTAATTGTTCTAAAACTTTAATTTAAATTTCTTTGTTCTTTTATTTACTTTTCTTTCGTTGATGCCAGGTGTTTCCATGTACTAAAATTGCATCAAATGCCGACTTTATTATGCTGATGAAAGTGAGAGCTTCAACTCACATTATCTAAAACTCTTAGCTCAAGTAAGTCATCAGTTCCATATGCTTTTTATTTTTTGATATCTAAGTGGTTGACATGGTTTTTGACCAGTAAATCACGTGACTTTACATTTACGATTATATTGTTTTTGACTATTTATTAATGTAATTGGAGAAATTGTTTCTTTAGTCTACTAAATACTATGAGATTTTCAAAGTTGAATCCGCTTGCTTTCGATCTGTCGGAACAAATTCTCTTTATAAAGTAACAAAACAAAAATATTTCTTGATGAAATGAAGTTGTTTACTTTATTGGGATGATCGTTTGGTCACGCCCTATTGGTTCTAAGCATAAATATACCAAAATGGATTTTCAATTTTCCATTTTACATATTTATTGGTTCAAATTTAAATGCCATCGTAAACTTAGACATCTGTTCATTACACTAAATTCGAGTTTACATTTTTTTAAATATATTTATCTATACAATTACTAATCCCGTAACAACATGTGGATCGAATTTCTAATTTCAACCTAAAATAACCATTATTGATATTTTGGATAGTCTTTTCAAGAATCTTTTTGGATATTCTGTCTTTTCGTGTTCCTTTTTTCCTTCTTTTCTTCTCTCTTTCCCTGCACCTTCCCGGCCAGAAGTATGTCCTTTCCCAAGTCCATACGCCAACATTATTATATTATAACCTTTTGTTTATGTTGACTGAAGTAGCTTGACTTGGGCTAGGTATTTCAATGTCATCCGTTCGGCAACACAAACACAACCATTGCCTTTTTTTTTAGTCGTGATCTGAACCACTGCAGTGCAATAACGGTCGAAGATCTCTATCATTGTCTTCTCAAAGAAATATGCAGATTCGAGTTGGTGTCTTGACGAGCTGGTGAAGATCATGGAGTGCAAATCCGAACTTCAGCGACGTGTTTTGCTAATATTCTATCATGTTGAACCTTCGAATGTCAGGAAGCAGAATGGAGATTTAACCGAAGCATTTCAGAAGCACGAAGAGGACATCAGTAAAGAAGAAGATGACGGGAAACGTAAAGATAGAAAATAGAGGTTACAGCAGTGGAGAAAGGCTTTTACAGAAGCTGCAAATTTATCCGGCCACCCTGTTCAAATCACTAACAATAGGTAATCATTCACTTTCTTTTCAAGATCTGAAACATTTTAGTGAATGACGGAATCTCTCATATAATTAAGAAATGGATTTGAAGTTTAGACATGTTTATAAAATCAAGAAATAGATCTGAAATTGAGACTTGTTTAAGTTCGTTCCAAAATCACATACTAGCTAGTACTTTAATTACTCTAATTAATTAAATATTTAAAGAAAATTGTAGCAATTAACTCAACAGAAGGAATGATCCCTCAATTAAAAATTCATGGCAATTGGTCCATTAACTCATTAAAACAAATAGCTATGGTTATTTCAACTCCGTCAGAATTAGTCATGTTGGAAGAGTCATTGCTTCAATTGAGTTAAAATTGAGGGACTGTTGCTGCAAGTTTTCTCATTTAACTTTTCATATTTGTCTCTTGATTCAACCTCACGTGTGTGGCACGTGACACATTTTGACGGAAGCTCTCATGAATTGACGAAAAAGACCATAGTTACACGTTTTGATAAGTTAAGAGACCAATGGTTTATGAATTTTCAATTGAGGAATTATTGCTCTAATTGGATTGAAGTTAAAGGACTATTGCTCCAGTTTACTCAAAGATTTAAGTTGCTTTTCAAGATCACTGACAACAGGTAATCATTCAACTGCTTTTCAAGATTTAAGTTGCTTTTCAATCTCTCAAATAAAACCTAAACCGTAATTGTAGTTTAATTAATACACCTAACTTTTAACCAAAGTTCGTCACAAAATCATATACTGATAGAATTATAACTAATTTCACGATCGGAATTCCCTTTCTTGTTTTTGTGAAGGAAAGAAGGAAAGAAATTTTTTTATGCACTGATAGCTCCTACTGAGCCTTATTGAGTCCCACTAATACTTATGAATTCAATTTTCAGGCGCATGGTAGAGTATATTAGAGAAATTGTTGACAAGAATGTTATGAAATGGCTTCCAATTACAAACGAATTTGATGTGGCCAAGCACCCGGTTGGAATCAATTCTCGTGTTCAAGATGTTATCACTCTTCTTTCATGCGGTGAATCGGATGTTCGCATGGTTGGAATTTGGGGGATGGGTGGATTGGGCAAACAACAATTGCCAACGCCATTTATAACCAAATTCATGGTGGGTTCCAATTCAAAAGTTTCCTTTCCGGCGTCAGGGACACTGCAAGTCAAGCAGACGGTCTGGTTGATTTGCAAAAAACACTTATGTATGACATCTTGGCAAAGATGCCTGAAATAAGTAGTGTTGATCATGGTATCGGTCAGATAAAACTACAATGTGGACATAGAAAGGTACTTGTCATCATGGACAACATAGATAAAGAGGATCAACTGGATGCAATAGCTGGAAATCACAAGTGGTTTGGTCCAGGAAGTAGAATTGTCATAACGACACGAGATAAACATTTATTAAATAAAGTGGATGGGATATATCCAGCTCAGAAATTGAATGATGAAGAAGCTTTGGAGCTCTTTAGTTGGCATGCTTTTGGAGAGAGTTGGCCTAACAAAAATGATCGTCTACTCCCAAAAAAGGTTGTTTCTTACTGCAAAGGTTTGCCACTAACTCTAAAGTTTTAGGTTCTTTTTTGAAGTCGAGAACCAAAGCAGAATGGGAAAGTCATTTGGAGAAATTGAAAAAAATTCCAGATAGAGAGACAATAAAACAACTAAGAATAAGCTTTGAAGGGCTAGATGATTCGCAGAAGGCTACATTCCTTGACATATCTTGTTTCTTTATTGGATGGAGCAAGGAATATGTCGCAAAAGTATTAGATGGAACAATAGATATTAGCATTCTTTATGAACGCTGCCTTATAACTATTGAACGCAACGTATTGAATATGCATGATTTGATTCGAGAAATGGCTAGAGAAATCATTTCTGAAATATTCTCGGGTCACCCTGGAAAATGGAGTAGGTTGTGGAATCTTCGAGAGGTCACAGACGTATCGACAAATGATTATGTAAGTGCATTTCCGATAAAATTTTGGATTAATGCATCTTACGGGAAAAGCATATATGTAACCTACGTATGTCTATTATAAATTAAACAGCATTCACTTGTAAATATATGCATTTGCATTAAGAAGCTCAATTAGGCAAAATCACGTCAAATTATATGCAGATTATCCTTTTTCTTACCCAGTACAACCTTTTCTTTAACAGGAAACTGAAGGTTTGTTCAAAAATCAAAAGGGGGAAACTGAAGAAGTTGTAGGACTAATTATCGATTTCCAAAGCTCGAACAATGCTAGTCTCAGTACAGTAGCATTTGCCAAAATGAAGAAATTGAAATTTCTCCAGCTATACCACGTACATCTCAAAGGAGAATACAAACATCTTTCCAAAGAGTTAATGTGGTTGCGCTGGTATAGATGACATTTGGAGTTCATACCAGATGACTTTTTTAGTCAAGATAACCTAATTTTTATAGAAATGCGGTTTAGCAAACTGGTACAAGTTTGGGAGGGTTCCAAGGTACAATCAATTACACATGATCATGTTCTATTTCTATTTGTTTTTGGATTTCCTTTTTTTTTTTTTTTTTTTTTTTTTTATGACATCTTCCTTTTGGATATTAATTTTACTTTTTCTTTGGTTTTCTGCAACAGTCGCTGAAGAGGTTGAAAATCATGAATCTTAGTCATTCTAAATCCTTAAAAGAATCACCGGACTTTTCACATGTCCTAGATCTTAAAGAGTTGATATTGGAAAACTGTGACAGGTTGTCCAAGATTCACCCCTTCATTGGTTGGCTTGAAAATCTCTCTTCCGTAAACCTTAGAAACTGTTAGTCTTATTTCTCTTCCAAGGCAATTCTGTATGTCAAAATCTGTTAAGACTCTTTGTCTTAATAATTGTCCGAATTTCACAGAACTGCATGAGGATATAGGGAAGATGGAATCATTTGAAATACTTGAAGCAGAGGATACAGCCATAAGACATGTACCACCTTCCATTGTAAGGTTGAACCTCACTCGTTTATCTATAAGGTTTGGGTACTAGAATTTGGGCTAGAGAACATCCTTCCAGTTGGTGGCAAACCTCGGTTGCCTCCAGATTAGAATGTCATATTTCTTTTTTCTTTTTTGTGAGGAAACAAATTGTAATATAAGAATAAAACAACAAATTTGCATAACTGATCTTTGATACAATTTTGTACAAATGTTGGTTATGAACAGACTGAAAATTTAGAATCAGTGAAGGGCTAAGGGACAAGATTAAGCTACCTCAGACTTGCATTTGCTCCTTACGCAAAGATAACAGCTTCCTATAAATGCATAGCACCACTTTAACTGGTCCAAAGTGCTCGTTTTGCAAATCCTTGGAACATCTTTGCTCCGAGCTATCAGTGATCTGTGGGGAGAAAAATGGAAACACATGAGATGGAATGTAGAAAGAATTTCCTTTTTAAAGCAGAAGTATAGAATTGGACATGAACATGATTTTTCCTATTTCAGCTGAATATAAGTATGTACAATTGTTTAGGCACCCTAGGAGAATATAAATGAAAAAGGAGAATACAAATGCATAACACTCACAGGATGACCAGAAAACTTCTGTATCTGCAGCCGCAGTTGCTACATCTGGTGCGGAGAAAAGGCTATCCACAATGTAGTATCAGCAAAATTCCAAACTACAAAAAAAAGGAGGACCTTTTGGGACGGTAAAAACGTGTCGCCATAGGCCTTTTATGGGGCTTGCAACGGCAAGTAACGCATCGCAATAACTATGATCGTAAATGTTGGTCAATTATAGGCAACACTATGAGTGCGTTGCAAATACTATTAAAACAGGCTTCCGACGGCAAGTAAGCGTTGCAAATAATTGCCACCAGGTTTAAAAAAAAAAAATATTGGGCATCAAATTGGACGCCAATGACATTATTTTTAACAGCTTCAACAAAAAAAATTTCATGTGAAATTGTACTACAGGTTCCAAACTAAAATGAAATTCAAATTGATGCTACAATTCATAATTTACAAAATGAAAAACATTTATTTGAAATCTTTGAGATTGTAATGTATTTCATTTGTAGTAATTAAACATATATTCATGATTAGACATTTATTACTTTAGTCTAAAGAAGGCTTTGCAATTGCATTGTACAAATGAATAGTATTTGGAGCCGAATTTCACGTTATTTACGAGGCTGCCACTGACTCTCTCTGCAGCTGATCTTCATGCCGCGTGTTGATGATCGTGGAAAGGCAGGGGTGCGATGGTAATTTTAGTTTGTAGGGTTTCGAACGGGTTGGGTGGGTTAGCAACTTTCATTTCCTTTCTTTGTGAGCTACAGTGGGACTCGGTGACAGCATGCCATCAGGAGAGAGAGCGAGCGAGCAGAGCGAGAAGAGTGACAGGGAGGGAGAGAGATAGAGATTTGGTGAGAGGAAGGCATGTGGCTTGCAGGTAGACAGAGTCACAGGGGGTGTATGATTCGAGGGAGAGAAAGGGGTTGGTTTTGAAAGCTCTACCTAGGGTTGTTCCTGCAAGATTTCAACATCGTTTTCCCTCTTCTCCACTATTTTCCTTCATTCCTTTTTCTCTGAACTAGAAAACTAGATTCCTCTTCTGGAGTCTCTCTCAGTGTGGAACCCCCGCCACCACCAAGCGCCACAAGCTGCGTCAATCGTTTGCATGTTGAATTTCATATCAACGTCATCTCCCTATAACCTAGGAGCTTGGTTCGGATCGGGCAATTCCAGAGGCCCTGCCATCGAGGTTAGTCTGAAGCAATTCCTATCTTATTGACTTATTGCATGTCCAAATCTGCTTCAAATTTGTGATTTAATATAATTGGGCTTTAGAAAAAAACTAGCAAGAGTGCTCGCGTTGTGCTGCGGGTTATCAAACTGTATAAGCAGGTCTAGGCACCCTTTCTCAATTTGCTGTATAAGGGTTGCTAAAATACTTTTTACAGTATGCAGTTCATTCCCTCCTTAGACACCTATTTTGCTTCTTTTTTTTTTTTTTTTTAATTGTAAATATTATTGTCTATCATACATGTATTTAGAACTTTCAAAATGTTTTATATGATTTTATAACCTACAGCATCACGGTAGGCACCCCCGCTGGTTCAATTCTAAAACATACAAAACACTAACAATTACAAGGTAAAAAAAATTTAGAACATTAATAACAAATAAATAATAAGTTAACTAAATGCGTTTCTTGTGTGATCGTTGATACAGACAAAACGTAGCTGAAATTTCGTTCACCCTCTATTCCAATGATTCAAGTTTTATCGTGCCAACTTACACCTGCAACCATATATGCACCACTAGAAATAATCAGTGAACAAATCCAAGTGTAAAAACATCGGTCCCCTCTCGACCTCTTCCCCGCAACTAAGTGACATAAAATTAAACTTAATACTACATTAGTAGTGGTTGAACTCCGCATAGAACGGATGTGGCCAAATTAATAGGGATATTCTAGTCAATTGTGATAAAAATCACGTGAATTTTCTGAGTTTCTTTTTACTCCACAATTTATTCTCCAGTATTTCATACAGACTATCTGAAAGAAGCCTCTCCCCTCAGTCCATCCTGCAGCAAACTTGCCAAAGCACAAATCATTAACAAGTGATGAGTGTTACACGAACATAGATTCCAATTGATGAAAAAAAAAAAAATTCTTAAGATCTAATCACAACTAATTAATCACTACTAGACCTCTAAACTAGAAAAAAAGTTCCACTTGCTGAGGAATCCAATGTCTAATAAAATTATTTTATTACATTAGTTAATTAGCACCAATAAGATTTGGGCTCCTTACTTGCATATGTACTCACATCATATTTTATACATATTCATAGTTGAGTATCCTTTCGTGTTCATTTCCTTCCCCTTTTCCTCTCTCTTTCCCTTTTTAAACTGACAAAGAGTTAACACTCTCATAGAGAATTGTGGCATCCATCAGTTTCTTTGTCTCCTGATCATTCATCTATTTGCTCGGGCCACATTCAGCCGGACACCTGACTCTCTTGGCCTTACCATTTGGAGAGTGTGAGACTGTGAGAGTTGAATAGCTGTACTAGCTAATCACCTGCTCGAAGGTCATTACATGCAATTTGCAGCAAGAACTCCAAGTCCAGGTCAAATAAAAAGACAACCCCTTGTCCTTTCAAAACAAATTTTATATATGCATAAATGGCATCCATTTGAGTTCACTATATGGTTCATTTCGTAATAGTTTTTAGCAGTGGAGCCTAAAAATGGGTCCATTTGGTTGTATTATACGGTCCACCCCCGTATGCCTCCCTGAAATTCCGTAGAAAAAAAAGAGCATCTGTTTTGTCGATCATATTTGGCATGCATCTTAGTATACATACAGCTCGTTTTTTGTCTTCCTTTTTTTATTGTGTGTGTGTGTGTATTTATTTATGTATAAACACATTTCTCAAATATTGTAAATCTAAGTTAGGCTAATACATGAATTTGAAACTCCTTTGTGCAGAAAGGAGATATCTCATTACAAGCAACGCAATCCAACAAAACTTTAGTACTCTTAAAAGGATTATGTGGACTCTCAGCTCAAGTAAGTCCTCAGTTCCCATATACTTTTTATTGCTTGATGTCGAGGTGGTTTACATAGTTTTTAACCATTAGGTCACATAACTTTACATTTTCAATTATATTGTTTCTGATTGTTTATATAAATTTCTTTTTGTTCCCAGCAAGATGATGTCATGGTGTTGAATATAATTGAAGAAACTGTTTCTTTAATCTATTCATGGTGTGAGATTTTCAAAGTTGAAAACCACTTGTTTTCAAGATTTTTTGAAACAAATTAGCTTTGTAAAGTAACAAAACAAGGACATTTCAAGAGGAAATAAAATTGTCTGGTTTGCTGAGGAAGTTCTGTTTAGATTAATCTATGTTATGGTACACTTTGAAACCTAAGTTATGGATTCGTTTAGCAAATCTTAAATTATCAGTATACAGAAGAAAGATCTGTTACTTTTTACCAGTATGCAGAAGAAAACAAATCTATTAGTTTCAATTATTTTTTTTTTGTTGAACAAACGATATTATCTACCCTTTGGGCTAAGTCTTACAATTGATTAGTAATAATGTAATTCAAATTCTCCTTTGAAATATTTTTTTTTTTAGAACAAATAATATTATCTACACTAGAGGAAGGAGGTTGGACTAGCCTCACAATGGGCTAACAATAATGTCGAAAGTTAAAGATACATTTATTAGTTAAAAAAAAATAATCGCCTTTGAAAGCTTAAAGATATATTTATTAGTGCAAAATTATATACTACTGGAATGTTAGAGATCTCTAATTACACTAGATTTAACTTTGATAATCTAGTGTGAAAAAAAAATGATAATATTTCAAACATAATTATCCAAACAATCTTTAATTCCGTAACAACACGTGAGCATCACTTTCTAGAAAGTTAACTGAATGTGTTTCTTGTGTGGTCGTTGATACAGACAAAACTTAGCAGAAATTTGGTTTTCCCACCGTTCAAATGATTCAAGTTTTATTCTGCCACATTACACTTGCCCCATCTAAAGCTATGGCCTGGTTTGGTACTGAGGTGATTCTGAAAAATGCTGGTATCAAAAAAAGGTGGGAGCTGTTTTTGTGTTTGGTAAACATTCAGCTTTAGTTTTTTTTCATAGTTTTGGGTGAAAAAAAGCCAAAAACAAGAAGCTGAAAAACTCAGCTTTGAAAAACCGACTTTTTTTCACATCTGTTTCACATTAAAACTTTACCAAACATTATAATACTGTTTTTTTTCAAAAGCACTTTTACAAATAAGTTTACCAAACACTCTGCTGCTTTATTTCACAGCTGCTTATTCTCATATCACAGCAAAAGCAGTTTTTTTTCAAAGTATAGCAATACCAAATCAGCCCTATATATGGTCCACCCCATATACCTCCTTGAAATTCCTAAATAGTATATTAAAGCACCATTTAATAGTTAATACAACGATTTAGTAGATTATGATCTTAAGTTCAAATCTTGAAAATGACTTAATCATTTACCATCCATCTTGAATAATTGTTTTAATTATCCTTTCACATTTGGGTCTTTTTAAATTACTTTTGTTTATTATGTGTTATTGCTATCCTGCTTCAAAAATACTTTTAAATTTCAACCTAAAATAATGTATTATTGATACTTGAATAGCTTAATCACCGTCAAGAATCTTTTGGATGGTCTTTATCGTGTTTGTTTGTTTCCTCTTTTCCTCTCTCTTTC